AGTAATGAAATATGAAAATATTTCTTGTGAAACATTGAAATTTTTTCCAAAACAAATATCAATAAGTACCTATAATCTAGTTAGGGTCATAGTTTTCCCTAATATTATAAAATGTATTGTGAAGGTGAGTTATAATGAAAATTATACGTAAAAATTAAATTTATTAAAAAAAAAATTATTACAACACTCAAATATTTCATGAAATGTTTCACGATTTTAATCTTTCAAACACTACGTAATTATAAGCCCGTGGAATAGTATTATATATACTAAAAACTGTGACGACGAGAAAGTTGTAGACGCGTAGTCGCCTAAAAATCTAGTGCCTAGAGTTATTTCGAAAAATTGTATAAAATTAATTAAACACAATTTTTATACGAAACGTATAGATTTCCTAGCCATAGGTGTTGGTTATTRTAGGTTAGCACATTTATTTAAGCAATGTATTTTGTAATWTTTTTTTTTTCGGTAAAGTTGATRAAAAACATTTTGAATTCAAAAAGTATAAACTCAAAAAAAACGAGCATTTTTAAATAATTAAGTACCTATACTCTTACTTGTAAAAGTATATGGGGCATATTGCTTAAAAATTAATTAGTTTTCCAATTAATAACGAATCTTACGCGTCTCACTTAAGAACAATAATATTACATTCCAAAAAAAAAAAATTAAACCACTCGACTTGCCTAGATAGATGGTTTGCTAAAAATTTTCTAAAAACAGATTTACACTTTGAATATATTGAAAATCTTAAACACAAAAAAGTTAGATTCATACGTGTAGAGAACGAGTCGATAAGTTAAATTTAAAAATATTGTCTAGAATAAGTTATTTCATTTTTCAGGGTTTCCTGATACATTCTGTACACACATAAGACATCAACTATTAGCATAATAACTATTAGTGAATATAAATTTTCAAAAAGAAGCACTTACCTTTTTTCTGTCAACTATATGCATATACGTACGTCATCAGACCAGACCAAATTGTTARTCTAATCACCAAAATTACATTCGGGATAATCATTATATGATCACAGGAACAGGCAATTCCGAAATTAGGGGGGAGGGAGACGGTCCTGGGCCCTTKCTTGTTTTCTACCAGCTTTTTTTTTTTTAATGCAAACAAATTTTACGAGAAATTTCAAAAAATAAAAATATTTATCTCGAAAAATTGATAGGAAATTTACAACAAAATKATAAAGCTAGTATAAATAAAAGAGTTGCGGATTCCTGTGACATTCGAAAGAAAATTATTGATTACCTTATTAAAAGTATAAACTGCAAGTAGGTAGGTAGAACTATAAATAAAATATATTAGTGTCATAAGTTTAAATAAGAATTTGTTGCTGCTGTGAATTTTGATTTTATAATTTATTAACTGTTATTGTAATTTTGTACRCAATATAACGCTACAGTTTTTACATTTTTTTTTTAACAGTACAAAATTATAAAATGRTTTAAATACAAGTAAAAAGTTGTGATTAAAATAGTTTAGAAAAAATTAAGTATCTGATGTTGTCCCGGGACCCAATTGAAAACTTATTCAGACTTACTTGGCAAGAGTCAACAAATACGAATTCGGTATGTACCAATTACTTAGTATACCTACATATAATAGAACACTTTTTTTCTCATGTTTGTCAAATAAAAATGTAGTTTCGTGTATTCAAACGATTTTCAAAGGCCGGCAGAACGTTATATTTTGAGTTAATATATTGTAATTGTTAACATAATTGAACAATAATTTCTATGCTAAGGAAAACAAACGCCACAAAAGTMGCAATCAAATACAAATGCTATTTGAACCTATATTATGTCACAGTACTTAATACTAAAATTTAAGGTTTTTTTCATAAATATAATATTAGGACTCTGTTCACGGGTAATTATTAGGGTTTAAAAAAAAAAAAACTGCTCTTAGAAAATAATTACCATCTACTACTCTAGACTTTATGTATGCACACTAATAGTTGTTGTATCATGCATAATAATATAATACTCGTATATAAGAAATATTACAATTAGAACTATTAACTAGGTTAAGTAAACAATCATATGTAACTGGTATACCAAAACAATTAAGTAATGGCGTAA